TAAAACAGAGGTAAACATCTTTCTGGTGTTCTCGGCTTTCAGCCAATATCCATCAGACATCAGCAATGATATACCTTGTTCCACGTAATCTAGACATTGGCTATCAAAGCCGGGGGGGTGGCTATAAAGGCACTGGGAGTCCTGGTGTGGTGCTGTGGGTTCATGCACTGGACTGCAAAGTCTGTCTGAACTGCAAAGTCAGCAGTTCAAGCTCACCAGGCACTCCTCAGAAATCCTGTACAGGGTTGCTATGGGTCAGAACCAACTTGACAGCACTTAACAACAACATAAAGGCACTGAATCGTAGCTTACACGCTTTCATGAGTGTGCTAAGTTTCAGGAGTGGGGGATACGGTAGAATCCCCACAGAATTGTTTTCCTATTCTCCAGATAGATTTATTGAAAGGGTTTAGCGGGTGATACTGATAGGATTTTATGATTCAATTGTGAGTAACTGGTAGCAGGATTCATTGTGATTGTCACAACTGTAACTGTAGAAGATGTATAACTAAAATGGGGGAACAGATAATATTTCATTTCAGGACCGGACGATCCCAGGATCATCAAGAAGGAAGAGCAGGAGTGGAGGGTGAGATCCTACCTAGTAAAGCTGCGACAGCAGAGATGATGGCAGAGGGGGTGGCGTGGAGAGACAGAGCAGCTGCGGGCTCTAGGCCCAGGGACTGAGGAAGTCTGTGTGCCTGCAGGCAGGAGGCTGGCTTGTAGAATACGCCCTTCAGACATTTCAATGAATATATATTTTTTGTTTTGTATGTGTACATCAAATATTTTTGCTTTGTTCATTTGTGAAACATAAGATGCAAAAGGGAAGTCACAGGGAGGAAGCAGGATAAATGTTGTTGCAGGGAGGGGAGTGTAATCATTGAGATGAAACAAAACGCATGATTGGTTGAATGTAAAGCTGATGATCTTGTCTGTTAACCTTTACTCGATTCACAATAAAAAGTTTAATAATAATAACATTCTATGATGGTTACAGGGCAGGACGAGGGATAATTACTCACAGGCTAGAGGGTATTCAGGAGCTCTGGTAGCGTAACGGTTATGAATCCGGCTGTGAACCGCAAAGTCAGCAGTTCGAAACTACCAGCTGTTCCATGGGAGAAAGATGAGGCTTTCTGCTTCCTTAAAGATTTACAGCCTTGGAAACTCTGTACAGGGTCGTTATGAGTCAGAACCGACTCCATGGCACACAGCCACCACCAGAGGGTATTCACCAATTGGCATGGATGACAGAGCAGGCAGTAAACAACATGAGATGGAGGTTATCAGAGAAAAGATGAGGTAGTGGGAGGCTCAGGGAGGGATGCAAGAGTTAAAAGCGAACATGAGGTAAAGTACTGTTAACTGTTGGTACATGGAGGGGATTGCAATCATGTAGTTAAGCAAAGTGTATGATGTGTTGAATATAAAACGGATCCTCTGCTCTGTAAACCTTCACTCAATTCACAGTAAATAGTTGGGGGGAAAAGTACGTTGTTGTTAAGTGTCCTTGAGTGTCCTTGAGTCAGTTCTGACTCATAAGGACCCTGTATAGCATGTCTGAGGCTGTTAATCACAGCAGGAGCAGAAAACAATATTAACAAAAAATAATAATAGTAAAGAAATCAATGGTGGACTCATCAAGTTTATTTATTCTTTCCTTAATCTTCTCTCCGCAATGGAAAAGGTAAAGGAAACAATAAATTAAATGTTTTTTATTTTTAAAGTTTTTATTGTGAATTAAGAGAAAGTTTACAGGGCAGATCATTAGTTCTACATTCAACAAATCATACACTTTGTTTCATTACAATGCTTATAATCTCCTCCATGTACCATCAGTTAACAGTATTTCTCCATATTTATTTTAGCTCTCTCTTTTTGTAAACACTCAGGCATATATAATAATTTACACCACTAAAGGGCATATTCTGCAAGCCTGCCTCCTGGCCGCCAGCTCTCAGTCCCTCTCTTTCCATGAATCTAGAGTCCTCAGCTGCTCCCTCTCTCCATGTCTCTGCCTCTGTCTCTGGTGTCGCTGCTTCTCCGGATAGTGTCCTGCATTCCGCTTGTACTCTTCTCCCTTGATGGTCCTAGGGTCCTCTGTTTCTAGATTATAAGATGAACTATTCTCCCCATTTTTATTACAAAACTTCTACCTTTACAATAGTGACAGTTGCAATTAGTCATGATAACAATTACTCACTATTGAATCATAAGAATCTTATTCCCATCTCTTTTTAGTAGACCCATCTAGACAAGATGAAAACTATTCTGTGGGGACTCTATCTTCCCTCACACACTCTTAAACTAAACTCCCTCTTGAAACCTTGTAAGCCAGTCACTTTGAGCCTTTCTCACCCCCTCATTTTAGGTAGCCAGTGTCTAAGTTGCCTGTCCCTATCTACCCTCTGTACAGAGGGGATAGCATTGGTCCTTGATGTGAAGACTCCTTTCCTCTATGTTGGTATTTTGAGCTACTACCTCCATGAGTATAAGTCAAGTTCATCAAATTGTAGCAATTTACCCTCATTTTCTTTCTTTCTTTTTTTTTATCTTCCTCTAGTCAAGTTCTGATTATCAAGCCATCGAGCCTAGGTCAAATGGGTGCTATCTACAAATTTGGGTGTTCTTGTGTGTCTCCCCTCACTTCATATCAGCGGGATGCTTCACTCTCAGATCTAGCCCTCTGTGGCTATGTCCTTGTCCATGGGCTCAGGTGTCCCCAGGTCTCACTACACTTTGAACCAACCAGCCCTTCCTCTTCTCTCTCTCATCTCCAGGTCAACAAGAATCTAAGGAACATAGTTGAACTCAGCCCATTTCTTCGTTGCTGCCACAAGAAATTAATCTTTTTTTAAAAGTCCAAGATCCAGTTGTATAACCATTGAGGAAACTGAATTTGTCATTTTAAAACTTCCACAAAGAAATCTCCAGGCCCAAGTGGTTTCATTGAATAAGTCTTCCAAATATTTAATGAATTAACACCAATTTCACGCGATCTCATCCAGAAAATTAAAGAGCCAGAGAACACTTCCTAATTCGTTTTATGAAGCTTGTATTACCCTGATACCAAAACCAGATAAAGACAGTTAAAAAATGAATAGAGACGGAAGCATCCTTAACAAAATATAAAGAAAGAGAGTTCAGTGATGCATAAAAGAATTATTCGTCATGATCGAGTGAGGTTTATCCCAGAGATAAAAGGCTGGTTTAATATTGTATTTAATAATCAATCAACATAATCCACTATATTTAACAGGCTAGGTTAGGCAGTATAATGGCCCCCAAAAGATACCCAAAGAGGTTTTGCGATTGTGGATTGGACTGAAGGTGTGGTCCTGGTATGGTGCTGTGGGTTAATGTTCTACACTGTATGGTGCTGTGGGTTAATGTTCTACACTGTATAGGTGGGCAGTTCAAGCTCACCAGCTGCTCTTTGGAAACCCTATACAGGGTCGCCATGGGTTGGAACCGACTTGACTGTTATTTAACAACAACAATCAGCCATCCTTAAAATATAGTGTATCTTGGATTATTCAGGGTAATCACGAAAATAAACACACACACACACGGACCCCCCACCCCAAATCCCTTGTGACTCTGCATGTTACAGAGTAATACTGCTCCATAGATTTTTCTTGGCTTTGTTGTTATTGTTGTTGTTAAGTGCCAATGAGTTGGTTGCAACCCATAGCGACCCTGTATAGGGTTTCCAAGGAGAAGCTGGTGAGCTTGAACCACTGGTCTTGCAGTTCAAACGACTTTGCAGTCTGACACATTAGACCACAGCGCCATACCTATGTTGTTAGGTACCATGGAGTCGGTTCTGACTCATAGCAACCCTGTACAGGGTTTCTGAGGCTCTAAATCTTTATGGGAGCAGAAAGCCTTATCTTTCTCCTGCGGAACAGCTGGTAGTTTCGAACTGCTGACCTTGAGATTAGCAGCCTGATTCGTAACCACTACGCTACTAGAGCTCTTTATGTTGTTATTAAGTGATTTATAGCATCTGGGCTTTCCAAGGAGCAGCTGGTAGGTTTGAACTGCTAACCCTGTGGTTAGCAGTCCTGTGCTTATCTTACAGCGCCACACCAGAACTTCTTGGTTCTAGTCTTTACAAAAGCAGAGCCCCAAGCCTTTCTGCTGTCGTATCACTGGATAGGTTTGAACTACCAACTTTGATGTTAGTTGTTATTAGGTGCCATTCTAGTCCCTTCTGTTTCATAGAGACCTGTGCCCAACAGAGCAAGACACTGCCCATTCCTGAGCGATCCTGTGTGAACGCATTGTTGCTCCCACAATCCACCTCTCAGACTTCCTGTTTGTCAATGAGCTCCTACTTTACCAGCATGATGTCTTTCTCCAGGGACTGGTTCAAAGTACACGAGGCAGAGTCTAGCCATCCTCACTTATTTTTAAAACACAAGGAAACTTTTCTTTTCAATTTTCCTCTAGAAATTTGCAGTCATTTTTATACTATGGGTTATTTTCTTGTTTTCTCTCTCTTTATTTCATTATAGCCACTCAGTGGCTCGAGCCACTGGGACAATCCTGGCTTCCAAGGAGCATTCTGGCTGTACTTCTCCTAAGACAGATTTATTTGTTCTTCTAGCTGTCCGTGGTATAAATATTCTTCACTAACATCATAATTCAAATGCATCAACTCTTCTTAGGTCTTCTTTAATATCTAGCTTTCACATGCACATGAGACAAAAGAAAACACCATGGTCAAGGGCAAAAGGGACCATCCAGGGACCTGTGTAGTCACAAATATCCTTCAAAGTGGGAGCGGGAGTCAGAATAAGGGAGACTGGAGAATGAGAAAGAGTGAAGTGATGTGAGGAAGGGCTCCTTGGTCACTGCTTAGAAGAGGAAAGACGGGACCAAGACCCTAGGAAAGCAGGCAGCCTCTAAAAGCTAGAAAAAGAAAGGAACAGAGACTCACCTCAGCGCCAGAAAGGAACACAGCCTGCCAACACCTTGGCTTTAGCTCAGTGAGACTTCTAGCCTGCAGAGCTTTAAGCTACACAATTTGTGGTCATTTGGTAAGAGAACTGTGAGAAATGAACACTCACACTGAAGAAGAGAACTCTCACAATCATATCTATTCATGAAAACAAAACCTTTGACACAAGGGGAACGGAGAATCCAACTCAAAACCAGTACAAGGCAGATTCTTACAAAGCAGAGGTCAGACATGCTTCCAACCTACAACCTTCTTTATCTTCTCCTGACCCCAACCATCTCTCCCACAGCACTCTCGGCTTTACATCTGGGTTCAATAATCCACTGCAATGGCCACACAGAATTCAGAACAATACTCACAATTATGGGGTTTCTTCAGGAAGTGAGCAGGGTACAATTCAGGATCTGAAACAACCCAATATGCAGCAGTGTTCCAGTGAGGACCGCCTCTTCTCTGCCATACTGCAGACACCTCAGACACGCCTGGGACCTCTTGTCTTCAGCCTCTCTCAGCCTTGTGGCCCGTAGCCTCTGACCTGCTTGGGAAAGTATTACAAAGCTCCTTTAGACTATCTGTAAAAACTCCTGCTTTGACGCTGTAGGATAAGCACTGGGCTGCAAGCCACAAGGTTGGCAGTTCAAACCCACCACCTGCTCCTTGGAAACCCTGTGGCATTTAACATCAACAACAATGTGCCCAAAGGACATAATTCTGCAAGTCAGTCTTTTGCTGGTAAGCACTCAGTTTTATTGGATCCACGTGCCTAGAAGCCTGCAGCTGCTCTCTCTCTCCATGCATGCCACCACCTCTACTTTCTGGTTTTCACGCTCCACTCTTGCTCTTCTTTGTTGATGGTCCAGAGATCCTCCGCTCCTGCTTCTGAGATGGCTCTTTTTAAGCCTATCAGGATGACAAAAGTAACCAATCCAGGCATTAGAGTCCTGTACACCCTATTTGCATGTTCCCATGCAATCATTTGGTGGGAATTAAGACTTTGGATAGAAAAGCCATATTAAGTAAATTCAAGGTACTACAGAGCCCTGGTGTGGCGCTGTGGGATAAAGCACTGGACAGCAAGATTGGTTTGAACCATAAGGTCGGTGGTTCAAATTCACCAGCTGCTCCTTGAAAACCCTATACAAGGTCACTATGAATCGGAATCAACTCAACAGCACATCACAACAACAACAACAGAAGGTGAAGATGATTTTACAGCCTGAAGAACAGAACCAATGACACTGCATTGTACATGTAAAAACTGTACAATGTGTGTTCTGCTGTATATATTTACACAATAAAATAAAATAATTTTAAAGAAAAATTCGTGATTAAAAAAAAAAAAGCTCTGCAAACTCAGGGTCTAGTTTGTAACTCCTGGGTGGTACAAATAGTGGACGTGCTAAATGAAAGGTTGTAAGTTTGAGTCAGCCCTGAAGTACCTCGGAAGAAAGGTCTGGCAATCTACTGCTGAAAACTGAGCTACTGAAAAGCCAATAGTTCTTAGTTCTACTCTGATACACATGGTGTCACTATCAGTCAGGGTTGACTCCATGACAACCAGGTGTTTGCGCTCTTAGAAGTGTCTCCTTTCTGTCCACATCTCTCTTGGCTCTGGCACCAGATTCCCTTTTTCTCCTTTCCAGTGGCGGTCCCTCCACCTGGTGCAGTCTCTCAGCGGGCAGCTCCTCCTCCACTCCTCCAGCGGGGAGTTCCCCCGGAGACCAGAGAAGCAGGATGGCCCTGGATCAGTGCCCTGCCCAGCCCAGCCCCCGCCCAGAGCTGACAGGGGAGGGAGCCAGGAGTCTGGCAGCTGACTGAGCTGAGGAAATTCCCTTGGAACCTGTTTCTCAGCTTCCCGACCCAGCTGGGCACCCACTGGAGGGAGAGGCCCGGACCCGGCCGACTGGCCATGGCCTTGGTCGTGAACCCACCCCGGGCCCCCAAGCCCAAAGGCACCCTGCCTTCCCACTACCATGAGAGCTTTCTGGAGAAGAAGGGACCCAGAGACCAGGTAGGACACTGTGGAGCCCTGCCCTGCTGGGCACCCAGGCAGGTATGACACCTCAGTCTCCCTACCTGGCCAAGGTGGGAGAGGGACTGGACATGCGCTGGGACCAGGGAGGGTTCTGTCCCTCTGTCTGTCTCTCCACTTGCACCTCCTCAGATTTGATCTCTGTCTCTGTGTCTCCCTGCCTGTCTCCATCTGTCTCTCCCTACCACTGTCTCAGTCTTTCTCTCACTGTCTCTCTCAATTATTTTGTGTGTCTCTTTGTGTTTGTCTCTCTGTCTCTGTGTCTATCTCTCTGTCTCAATCATGTGTCTCCATCTCTCTCTGTGTCTTTGTCTCATTTGTGTCTGTCCCTGTCTCTCTCTGTGCATTTTTATTCTGTTCCATGCTCTCGTTTCGTTTCTCACATACAAACAAGACCAGGAACTTCCTCCAGGAAATGGGGAGTTCTCTGAGCCCAGTGCCTCCTCCCTAGTACAGAACTATCTCCATGAACCTTAGCCACAGGGGTCAAAGGCAGGACAGGGTGTATGTGGGAACAATCAGGACTGCGGGCACCTTCGTGAGAACAGGATAGCGACTCTGGGACCAGAGTGTGTGTGTGAGTGTGTGTGTCCCTGCCCCTTACTTCCTTCAAAAACCCCATCCTTCTTCCCTCCCCTACTCTCATATTCCTTTCCTGATGCAGCCCAAATCATCCACATCCACTCCTTGCTCTTTTCTGCCCACCTCCATGCCTCCCACACCACAACCCCCTTTACCCAGAATGCTTTTCCCTCTGCTTCCCCCATCCACGCCCTTCTCACACCCAGGTCTTCTACAAGCAGTGCTAATTCTTTGAGCCTCAGTTTTCTCTACTATGAAAGGGGTAGAATAGGGAGGGCTGCAGCCACAGTTACAGGAGAGGGCTAGCTCTCAACAGGCTGTTGGACTTAACTTTGAGCAAATACCACGTATGAACCTGCCTAATCCTCATGACACCGCTGAACTGCTCCTTGTTGTTGTTAAGTGTTGTTGAGTCGGTGAGTTTGATCCACTGGTGAGTTTGATCTGCAGACCTTGTGGTTCAAACCGACCTTCAGGTTCATTGCTTACTCTACAGTGCCACACTAGGACTTCTTTCTGAACGGTTTGGTTGGTAATCAATTAATAAGTTGATAATAATATCATTTGTATTGCCATTTTATATCTGGGGAAACTGAGGCACGAAGAGCATAAATAAATAAATTGCCCAATGGCACATAGCTGACAACATGATGAATCATGTTCATGAGCCAAGCGTTTAACCAACTTGCTCTATTCCTAGTGCCTGAAACGCAGTAGGTCCTCAGTAAATGTTTGTTAAATGTATGTGTAGATGGATAGATTGATAGATAGGTGGATGGATGGATTTATGAATGGATGTCTGAGGAGATGGAGGATGAATGGGTGGGTGGGCGGATGAATGTATGGATGGAAGGATGTGGATGAATGGATGGGTTGGAGGATGATGGATGAATGAATGGATGGATGATGAATGCACAAATGGGGAATGAATGAGTGGATGGATGAATGGAAGGATGGCTGGAAGGAAGGATCGATAGATGCACCTACATAAGCACCAACCTCACTGTCATTATGGACTAATTAAAATGCCTTCTCCATCAGGAAGTCTTCCTAGATTTCCACAGTGTGATTTCATGGCTCAAGGTTGCTTCCTCCCTAGGGCACCTGCTTTCCCTGGCTTGGAGATTTTAGTCATTAACGTTTATAACATGATTTATTTAGAAAATAGGTTGTTTCCCACTCATCATTTTGCTCACAACAGAACTAGGTATAGACTAGGTGCCTAGGGAATACTGGGTGAACAAACCCAAGAATCCTTAGATAAACCTGCTCCTTGAACCTCCAGAGACTTTGGACATTTGGATTTTAGAACCCTGGGGAAAATCTTGAATCTGCAGAACTTCTAGACTCCAGAACTTTGTGAAATTCTGAAAGTGTAGATGCATCATCTAACTGAGAACCTGGGACCTAGGAGATACCAATATATATTCATGGGATGGATGGATGGATAGATGAGTGGATGGAGGTATGGGTGAGTGGGTATGTGGGTGACTGGCTGGCTGGCTGGCTGAAAGAGTAGATGGTCACTGGGTGGGTGGATGGATGAATGGAGGAAGGGAGGCTCCGATGGGTCAGTCGATGGGTGGGTGATTGGGTGGATGGATGGATGGATGGGTGAGTGGATGGGTGGGTGGGTAGATGAAAGGAGGAAAGAAGAGAGGGGTAATTGGATAGATGGATGGGTGGGTGAATCAGTGATAAACTATAAAACCAGTTAGCTCAAATCACTCCTGGACCTCCACTTACCGCTACAAACTGAAAGGTTGTTCATCCAATCAAGGTTCCCTTCTGGTCTTTCCCTGAAATATAACAAATCCTCCAGCTGCTGGGTCATGAGTGAGAGTAGGCAGGTCTCTGAGAAGTCAGTATTTGATCAAAAACCCAACGCAAGTATGTCAAGAATTAGAGACAGAATATCCAGGTCGACAGAACAGTTGGTGCAAAAGTCTTGAGGCAGGGAGGGGTAAGGTTGTTGGAAGTACCCAGTTTGGCCATCTCACCTTCTTGTCTTTCTCTACTTCTGGTCACCAGGATTACAAGAAGTTTTGGGCAGGCCTCCAGGGTCTCACCCTTTATTTCTACAATAGCAACCGGGACTTTCAGGTATGGACAAGAATAAAGACTCAGAAGGTGATCCTCCTTGTCTTTAAGGACCAAGCAGAGACTGTGGATGGTGTCCTTGAACTAATTAATAGCTATGTTTTTAGGGGAACTGAGGGGACAGGGCATGGTGCTCAGACCTCCTGCCTCTGTGTCCCCCAGCACGTGGAGAAAGTTGACCTGGGAGGATTTATGAAACTCACAGATGAGGTTCCTTGGGGGAGCTCACGTGACTTTGGAATCTACTTCAGCCTATTCCTTCGGAACCAGGAGATCAAGTTTAGGGTAAGTCCCTTGGGGGCTAGTAGAAGCAGCTCCCTCCCCATCATTCCAACTATTAGACAACCACTAGCATGATATGGTGACCTTGGACAAGTCACCCAACTTCTCTGGACCTCAGTTTCCTCAACTGCAAAATTGGATGATAGGTTTAGAGTGTCCAGTACAAAATCTGATCCACAAGGATCATTAAGTGTCATCATTCATTCTCTCAACAAATATTTATTGAGCACCTACTGTGTGCCAGGCGCTGTTCTAGTTGCTGGGAGACACTGGAGTGAACAATCTGAATGTTTACCTTGTACAGAGTGTCAGGTGGTGGGTGAATGCAGGGAAACCAGAGCTAGGGGAAAGGGAAAGAAGGGAACTGCAGTATTGAATAACGTGATAGGGAAGGTAAGGGGCAAGCAGTGTGGATCTCTGTGGAAGAGCGTTTTCCCAGCTTAGGGGACAGCCTGTGCAAAGGCTGTGAGGCAGGACCAGCCCAGTGAATTGGAGAAACAGAGAGGTGCCTCCCCACCCCCATCCTCCACTGGTTACAAGCAGAGTGAGGGAGGGGGAGATAGAAGGGAGGGACAGTGTTGTATATGTAGGGCCTTGTGGGCAGCTGGGAGACTTGGTCTTTTACTAGAGGGAGGTGGGAACCTTGTAAGAGTTTGGAGCATAAGAAATTAAATTATGTGTGTGCTCTTTGTCACAGTGTTGTACTATCTCTGGCTAATTTTATTTACATGTTTATATAACATTAAAAAAGAATAATCTAATAATCGTTCCCACTTAATTAAAGACTTAATATTCACAGACAGGATCTTAAATTAACCGTTGTTAACATTTTAACCTTCAAAACAACCCTTTGAAACAGGGGCTATTATTTCTCACCCCATTTCACAGATGAGTAGACTGAGGCTCATAGTACGGACTCTTCTTTCTCTCCCTTAGGTGGACAGCTTGGAATCTAGGGAGGTGTGGAAAGGTTTCATTTTGACTGTGGTGGAGGTAAGAGTGGTCTGTCTCTTCAGATGTCTTTTTGTCCATTCCCAAAAACCCCTCTAGAGTCTAGCACATCAGTCTCAAACTGGCAGACTGTGGGTCAAGGAAGGATGGGCATAAACACTTTTTTTTGTCTTGCCAACAAAGTACTAAAACATTTTTGATTAGCTGCCATCGTTGCAAAACCATGCATTTTAGTCTCATATTCGGGTTCCTTTTTCAAGCATTTATTCCTGGCCTGGCCCCTCCTCTTTTTCCGAGTCCCTTTCCGCATCTCCTGGTGCCATCTCTTCCCTTGAGGTCTCAGGCGACTCTAGGGCTCCCAAACCTGGTTTCCCATTCCGGCTCCACTCACTGACCTCAGTTTACCCGTCTGTGACAAAGACACAATCGCCCGTTCCCTGACGGTAGGGCGCGGTCGCTAGCTGTGCCCCAATATCCTTTCAGCTCCGAGTCCCATCCAACCTGACCTTACTGCCTGGACATCTGTATATGATGTCCGAAGCGAGGGACAAAGAGGAGGCGCGCCGAGCGATCGAAATGCCCTCGTGAGTGGCCCACCAGACCCGGGTGGGCAGCGTGGGCCTAGGGTAGAAGATGGGTCTAGGTTTGGGTCTAGGGTTGAAGACAGACTGCATTCAGACTGGGTTGGGGAAAATGGTTTCAGGGGGTGGGTCCAGGTAGTTGAGGGTGGGTCTGGGTCTTCAGGGATGGCTCTAGATTCTGGAGGTGGGATAGGGTTCCCAGGGGCGGCCCGGGGCTCCTGAGGGGCGGGTCTGGGGTCTTGTAGGGCAGGTCTGGGTTTTGGGAGGGTAGGACTGGGTCTTCAGGGACCCGACAATATTTCAGGGGACGGGTCATGTTCCGGGAGGGCGGGGCTTGGTCTCCAGGAGCTAGATCAAGGGCTGGGGTTCGTGAAAGAGGATTCAGCAGGTGTGTCTACGTGGTGGGTGGGTGGGCCCCTGGGGGCGGGGCCTATCTCGGAATGTGAGACGCGGCCCGTCGCAGGTGCTTTCTAAAGGTGAGCCGGTTGGAGGCGCAACTGCTCCTGGAGCGCTACCCGGAGTGCGGGAACCTGCTGCTGAGGCCGAGCGGGGGCAGTGCGGGCGATGTGTCGGTTACCACTCGCCAGACACTCAATGGGTGAGCATGCAGGCCAAAGGAGCCCGGGCTGGGAGGCGTGGTCCGGCACCACGTGGTGGGACCCGAGCGCAGCGGACTATAAACTGGTCAGCCTGTGGGCGCAGTCAGAGCTGGTGCGGAGGAGGGGCCAAAGTAAAATTTCCGAGACAGAATCAGTCCTCCTTCGAAGTGGTCGAAGACGTCTCTTGTCTGATCCACGTTGCGTGTGGAGTCAGAGTCTGGGGCTGGAATTTACCTGAGGAGGAGCGGGGAAGAGGCTAAAACAGGGGGTGGAGCCAGTCCACCAGGGGGCAGTGTCTTCCTTGGAGGTGGAGCCCGTAGGGGCGGAGTCAGGAGGTGGGCGGGACCTTTTCTGGGAGGTGGGGTCAGTAGGGGTTGGACATGTATTTGTAGACGGTGTCAGGACCCGGGGCGGGCATTTCCAGGGGTCAGCTTGGGAACCTGAGCCCATATCCCTGTACCCCACAGCTCACCCGTGGTCCGACACTACAAGGTGAAGCATGAGGGGCCCAAGTACGTGATCGATGTGGAAGTTCCGGTGAGCGATGGGCCGGGGCTAGGGCTGGCTGGATAAGTAAGTGCCCATCTCCGCACTGCCTGACCGCACCCCGCCTTCACTCGCAGTTCTCCTGCGCCTCACTGGACGCCGTGGTCAACTATTTCGTGTCACACACCAACAAGGCACTGGTGCCCTTCCTGCTGGACGACGACTACGAGAAGGTGCTAGGTGGGTGCGGCCTCGGGCAGCTGGGGGCGTCCGTGCCACTTCCGTTCCTGCCGCGACAGAGACCCTCTGGGCTAAGCCCAGGCCGCCGCGCCCCCTCCAGGCCGCCCTCTCTGTTCCAGGCTACGAGGAGGCGGACAATGAGAACGGCGAAAGAGTGTGGGTGGCTCCCTCGGCCCCCCGTCCAGGTGACACCCCCCTCCCCGAGGCCGCTGGGGCAGAAGGGGAAGAGGTTGGGACCCACATCTAGCTACACCCCTGACAGGGACCCAGACACAAGTTACCCAGATTCCGCCCCCAGCTCTATACGGGGTGATTGTGAGTTTGCCCAGCTGCTCCCAGGTCAGGGAGAGGTAGAGCTGAACACAAACATCCTAGTCTTCTGGGGTGGAACCTGAGGCTGGGGCCAAGGTGGTGGCGTCTAGAGTGGGAGAGAAGAGGGAGACAGAGTCAAGGAAGGCTTCCTGGAGGAGGTGCTATTTACTGAAGGTTTCCAAGGATTTCAGTGGATGCCAATGGTATTGGGGGTTCAGAGAGTGTACTTGAGCAAAGGCCCAGAGATGTAAGGGGGGATGTCTTAGAAAAGGGTGGGAGGCCAGTTTATGGAGTAAATATAGAGGGAAAAAGAGGGCTGTGGGTGTGGTCTTCTAGGGCTGAGCAGGTGCCCATATGCAGGAGGGTAGGTAAGTGTACACACACACCCTCACATACATGGTCTGTGTCCACCTACATAACCAGACCCTCATATCCTGACAGTTCTACACATACTTGAAGACATGTGTTCACACAGTATCTGTGTGATACACACTTATGCTGAATTACATCCATGGAGCCACATAATCCCACCCACTGCCTTCATGCCGGTTCTAACTCCTGGTGACCCTGTAGGACCAAGAAGTGCCTTCATAGGGTTTCCAAGACTGTAAATCTTTATGGGAACAGATTGCCACAGCTTTCTCCCAAGGAGTAGCTGGTGGATTCGAACTGCCCATCTTTCAGTCAGCAGTCCAATACTTAATCTACTGCAGACTCATTTACAAGCACAAATTCAGACACACACAGACATTTATAGTTGTGTATGCATGACATGGGAGGAGCCCTGGTGGCACAGTGGATTTATACATTGGGCTGCTAACCACAAGGTCAGCAGTTCAAATCCACTAGCTGCTCTGCAGACAACCCTATATAGGGTCTCTATGAACTGGAACCAACTACCACTAACATACAACTACCACTATCACTACACGATAGAGAGTTCTCAGGTGGCACAATGGTGACTGCACTCAGCTGCTAACTAAAAGGTTGGAGGTTCGAGCCCACCCAGAGGTCCCTTAGAAGAAATAACTGATGATCTATTTCTAGAAAAATCAGCTTTCAAAAACCCTGTGAGACAGTTGTACTCTGACACACACAAGTTGGGACTGATTCTGTGGACAACTAACCGGTTACAGATTACACGTAACACACACGTACAAACACCAAAGCATGTGCCTTCAGACCCTGCAGCATCTTAACATGTTTACACATTTAGAGCTGTGCTATGTGCATATACCCACATATGTATTTAATATGCATATTTATTAAATATCACTTATTTTCATGTTTATGCTACAAAGGAACATTATTGTTAAGTGCCATCGAGTTGGTTCTAATCCATAATGACCCTGTATAGGGTTTCTGAAAGTGGCTGGTGAATTTGAACCACCAACCTTGTGGTTCAAACCGACTGTGCAGTCCAGCACATTAATGCACAGCGTCACACCAGGACTCCACAAAGGAACATGTTGTTGTTGTTAAGTGCCGTCAAGTCGATTCCGACCCATAGAGACCCCCGTATAGGGTTTCCAAGGAGCAGCTGGTGAGCTTGAACTGCCGACTTTGAAGTTCAAACGGCTTTGCAGTCTAGCGCATTAACCCACAATGCCACACAAAGGAACAGACACACCCATGCACACAGGGTGTCCTTGTACTGGTGTACCCTGACCGTGTCTATCTTTTCCAACCAGGTCATGCGCCCCCTGCAGGTGGCTCTAAGCAGCCACTTTCAGACCAGCCACCTCCTCTACCCCTGCTGCCCCCACCACAGGATGAGAATTACGTGATCCCCATTGGAGATGCCCCGGCTGCGGCTGCCAGCTATGTGAATGATGAAGGTGAGTGCGGGTGACGGGAACTGGGCAGGTGGCACTGTGAGTGGGCTCAGCATGACATGCCACACCTTACCTCTATCCACACAGTGCCGTCCCCTAGTTGGCAGGTGACTCCAAAGCCCATGAAGCTGGTAAAGGGGCAAGCAAAGGCCCCAAAGCCCCCCATGATGCCCAAGCCAGGTAGGTGCCCCTTCCCAGCACTGCGCCCCGACTCCCTGCCCATGAAAGGCAGAAGACCTCAGCCTTCACCACCTGCCCTCTCCTCAGCAGAGCACAGGGTTCTCAACGGTGGCCTGTTGGCCAAAAAACTGACAAGCAACATGGCCCAACCCTTCTTCCCTGCAACAGGTAAGGACCGGCAAGGTGGACGTGGGACCCCTGCCATTACCTAGGGCCCCGCTTGGTTTAATGCCATTTTGAGATTCCTAAGTCTTTTGGGGGAGGCCCTGAATACCACAAACAATTAAGTGCTTAATAGCTAGCCAAAAGGTTGACAGTTTGAACCTACCCAAAGATGCTTCGGAAGGTTTGGCAAGCTGGTTCCAAAAGGTCAGTGTTGAAAACCCTATGGAGTCACCCGACTTGAAGTCAACTGAACAGTAACTGACAACAAAGCTTTTTGAACAAAGGGCCTCCTTGGTTTTCACTTTGTACCGGGCCCCATACATTCTGAAACTGGTTCTGGATGGATGTGGAGGGGACAGGACATGGATGGTGTTCCTGGATCATCTCAAGTCTCAGGTGCCCACCCCTAGGACTGGCCGATGTAACTGCAGAGCTGGAAGAAAAACTACAGAGGAGGCGGGCGCTGGAACACTGAGGTTGGACATTCAAGGAGACTAGCAGGCCAATCTCCTATATAACACGAAGAACTGATCCTCCAGTCCCTGTATTAAAGCCCGTAACCCCACGACCCATGTGTTTGGCTTGGCTTGTGAAGAGCGTCCATTTAATGACTACTTCTTGTTTGTCCCCACTGCTTCCTAATGAACTTCTGCCCAGCAAAGCCCTGACCTTGTAAAAAAAAAAAAGAAGCCCATTTTACAGGCAGCAAAGTTGAGGTTCAGGACAGTACCACCTAGTCCAAATAACCAGCCCCACAACCTGGCCAGTGTTTGACCTTTATTAGGAGGCAAGCTGGGGGTGCCTGCTCCCTGGTGGTGCCCCCAAAATTAGGAGTTAAGGCTCCAAGCAGCAAGTGAGAGGAGGGTCCCAGATGAGAGATCTGGGGCCCCCAAGGACAACCTGGTGGTGAAGGTCTAGGTGAGGCTAGTGTTAGAGCTGCTGGTGGCACTGCCCCGTTTCTGCAGGCAGCGTACGGAGCTAGGCACCTGCAGGCCCGTCGTCACCTGGAAGCTGCCACACCACACCTGGGAGGAGGGAGAAGAGGGAGGCTGAGATGGGAAGCCGGTACCCAGCATCAACCCCTTCAGGTCCCTGGGCTGTGGGCAGGGCCTCACTGTGAACGCAGGCAGCAGGGGCTGAGTGAACTTGGCCTTGAACGTGTGCAGCAGCTGTTTGGTGCGGGCGTTGTAGAAGGACAGGAGGCCTGGACACAGGGCAGAGGGGTGGGATGAGCGGTCAGGGGTGGGCAGGGCTGTGGAGCAGAGTCGAGTGGTGGTGGGGGGAGGGGCGGTCCGGGTCACCTTGGTGAAAGTCGCAGTGTACACCCAGACAGTCAGGCACGGGGATGTCCAGGGTCTTGGCTTTGTTGGCGTGCTTGGCGGTGAAGGTGACCTGCAGCCAGTTGTTGACGTGTAGGCACCAGGATGCTGCGGTCTTGCCCAGCTGTTCAAAGCGGCCCAAGCTACGGTAGGCCACGCCCACGCCGAAGGCCTTGCTGTCTGGCTCATAGCGCACCTCCCAGTACTGCTCCCCGCTATCGATCAGCGTGTCCCCTGTGGGGTGGCAGAGCTGGATAGAACCGCAAAAGGGCCTTCCACCAATAGACAGCTGCCCAGCTGCTCCGCAGGCCACAGCTACTCCCTCCAGATACTCCCGGGGCCCCAGCTATTCCTCTGGGCTTCCTCCACTCCCAGCAGATACTGAGCCCAGGTACTCTCTAAGCCTCAGATGCTCCTTTCAGATTTTCAACAAGCCCAAGCAGCTCCTTCCAGATAACTTCCAGAGACAGGGCCTCCAGTTCCTCCCCACGATCAGAAGCTCCTCTACCCTCATTTCTTCCCCGGAAACCAGATAATTCCCAGATTCCTGCTCCTGGCTGTCTCTTAGCCTCCCAGATACTCCTCCACCACAGATACTCCCAATTCACAGTGGCTCCTTCCTTCCCACCACACTCTGAAGCCAGATTCTTCCCAGACCCCCAACTCCTGGTGGAGGCCAGATTCTCCCCAGACCCCCAACTCCTGGTGGAGGCCAGATTCTCCCATGCCTCAGCATCTTCTGAGGCCAGGGGTCCCCCAGGTACTCCCCAAGCCAAAGTTACTCTCCTAGAAGTCAGATACTCTTCAGGCCTTGCCCATCTCTCTGGAAACCCTCTGAGTTTTGATTTCCAGAAGCTCTCCGAATCTCAGCTAAGCCCTGAGGCCCCGTGCTCCCGAGACCCCTAGGAATCCGGATTCTTGCCTGTTTTTCAGCTGTTTACCAATCAGTCCAGCTGTTCCTAATGTTCAGCTCCTTCCCACACTGTGGTCCCGGCCGGCTCACAGCTCATCTCCCTGTAATATCTGCGCTCCTCACCAGACACAAGGTTACCCAACATACACATTTCTTCTTCTAGTCCGGCTCCCCTCTGGTTTCAACTACTCCCCTAATTACATATTGCCTAAGCTCTTTGCTAAGGATTAGCTGTTTCCCTCTCCAATGTCAGCCACTCTGTAGGTAACCTCATACTGTCACCTGCTTCTTCTCCAAACTGACTAGTCCTAGGTTGTTGTTGTTAAGTACCGTGGAGTCGGTTCCGACTCATAGCGACCCTGCACAGGGTTTCCGAGGCTGTAAATCTTTATGGGAGCAGAAAGCCTCATCTTTCTCCCACGGAACACCTGGTAGTTTCGAACTGCGGACCTTGAGATTAGCAGCCCGATTCGGAACCACTACGCTACCAGAGTCAAAAGTGCTCCATAGAAAATCCAGTTCTCCCTACAACTTGAACATCCTCCCAGGCACCAGCTTCTTACCCCTAGACAGGGTACTGACCACACTGTCTTCCTTATGGCTCAGCCTCTTTCCCCAGCCCTTGACTGGACAGTGGTAATTCCCCTAAATGCCATTTCCTCCACGGACCCCAGCTTCTCCTTCCCAGGATCATTGCTCCTATGGTGCTGAGTCCTCCGATGCCAGTGATTCTCACAGCATGTCCTACTGAGGAGCTACTCTCCGCACATCCTGAGCCTCTCCGCTCTAAGCTTCTGATATGCTTCAACTTCTCCCCAAACCCAACTACGCCATATGCAACAGTGTTTTCCAGTTACTCTCCAGACCCCAAGAAATCGCAGTCTTGTCCGCAGTGTCTTTCCTTAACTCCATAGGTTCTGGCTTCCCCCAGTCATCTCTCATTCCCTAACTTCCCAATGCCCCAGTGCCATAGTAACAGAGCAGTTTTTATTTTTTCCCCTTACTCTTCACCCATCACCCAGACCTCCCCCCACCCCTCCTTACCTAGCACTGTGTAGGACTCAGCTGTGAAGCGATCCCGTCCCCCACGACCTGAAGGCATCCTCTTGGGTGATGGAGTACCTCTGTGGGTACAGGGAGAAAGGAATGTCAGCTTAGGAAGACGTCCCTGAAAGTATTTGAATCTTTTCATATATTAGGTCCAACATGTCCTCAAGCCAAAGTTACTCTCCTAGAAGTCAGATACTCTTGTGATCTTGGCCACTTAGAAAACCCCTATTCAACCATCAAAACCCAGTTCAAAATGTCCTCTCCCCTCATTCATTCATTGGGTTCCCCTCACCCCAGTTCTGATCACATGGACTGAGTGTGTCTGTCCAGCTTGATCTTCTCTATCAGAGACTTAGGGGGGCGGCGGGGTGGCTACCTGGCTGGAGAGTTGACAGGAGACGCTGTCCGCCCCTTGCCGTCTTTTTCGCGAGCCTTGATATCCTGCACCTTCCCACCCATGGCGTCCCACTCCACGGACAGTTCATCCACCCGCAGGTTCTGGTGGGATGTGGACGCATCCAGGCGGAACATGAACGCTGGTGCCGGCCAGATGCAGGAGTCACAGAGATGGGGGACACCCCAGAGACACGGAGAGAGACAGACAGTGACCAAGACAGACCAGAACAAGGACAGACACAAAGATACAGGGACTGAGACAGACCAAGCCTCAGAGAAACAGAAAGACACACACACACACACACACACACACACACACACAGAGAAGGTTAGGGCCAGGGGACAGGACAGGACAGGTGGGTGAAGGCTGAGGAGTGTTGCTTAAAGGTCTCTCCCCAGGTCTGGAAGTATTTTCAAACCAATTGTGCTGCTCTGAGTCTCCACTGAGGATGAATTCCAGGAAAGGGAGGGGCTGGGCTACAGCAGGAAGGGGCAAGGTTAGACTGCAGTAGGTTCTGGAAGGCTCTGGTATCTGTCTTCACTACTGATTTCCCATCCCTCCCCCAACTCTGAAGAGGACTTTTTGGGGAAGGGTGTGTATGAGAGAGAGTGTGAGCATATAAAAGCCATCCACATATAATGGGGTCAACCTCAAAAGCAAAGATAAAAGCAGGTTACACAAACATTCAGGCAAAGGAAGCCACCTTAGACTGATCCCTGAGCTTCCTAGCAGCCAATGCAACAAGGGCTATAGTGCCCCGATGAGAGGATATGAATTACACACTGATCTCTAGGACCCAGGGAGAGAGAGACTTGGAGGTGAAACAGGACAGGGGTGGAAGCCAATCACCTGGTGTCTCCAGGGTCACTGGCTCAGAGAACTCGCCTGAAACCGCCTTGTTGCAGGCCTTGACACGAAAGTTCATGTATTTCATGTCAAATTTGAGACCTGAGATGCAAGAGGAGAATATTAACATTGTGCGCATGCTGAGTGATTCCCAATCAGTAGTCATGCAGTGGATTCTGACTCCTAGCGGATGACTCCATATGTGTCAGTATAGAACTCTGCTCTGGAGTGTTTGCAGTGACTGAGTTGGACCTATTTGGAAATAGATCTCTAAGGCTTTTTATTGCAGTATCTCTGGGCGGACTTGAACCTCCAACTTTTTGGTTAGCATCTTTATGTTGTTGTTATGTGCCACGGAGTCAGTTCCGACCCATAGCGACCCTGTACAGGGTTTCCGAGGCTGTAAATCTTTGCGGGAGCAGAAAGCCTCATCTTTCTCCCGCGGAACAGCTGGTAGTTTCGAACTGCTGACCGTGAGACTGGCAGCCCGATTCGTAACCACTACACTACCAGAGCATCCTTACAGGACTTAGATATATCATTAGAAGAAGCTAGCTGAAAGATACACTTGACCTTGTCGTTTCCTGAGAATCTACAATTATTTCAGAATAAAAAGTTACACCACCACCACACCACAAAGGCGGGAGGGCCTGAAGGAGAGGTTAGTGGGATCCAGTAAAAATAGGGCGTGTTTATTTTGATTCCCACGCAAAGGACAAGCCAATAGCTTCTCAGGGCTTTTGGCTGTAGGATAACTTTTCTCTCCTGCAATTAGCATGCTCATTATTAACCATGTATGCTAATTACAGCTAAGGACTAAACTAATTACAGCCCCTGAGTAAACTGGTGTATGGTAGTAGTTATTTCCTCAGCTAGTCTCCCCCGCCCCTGGGGGTTCCTCCTACTCAGAATGGCTTCTTAAAGACATCGGGAATCCCCAATGTTTCACT